AACTTCAGATAGTTGCGTTCACAGCTGTTGTAGATGCAAGTACAGAAGTAGTCATACATAAGCACACACTCGTAATGTTCAAAGAGACATGTTTTAAAAAGGATTTATCTCTTGGTAGTTAGTTGTTGATTTCCAACAATGAGAAGGTGCCCTTGTACCTTGGTGCAGTTGTTAGGTACAACAGTAATGGAATTAAGGTTAGTTGTCTTCTAGCAAAAATTCACAATGTCTGAAAATAGTCTTTTTAAAATGAAAAATAAAACATGTTTGAGGATTTTCTGTGTAGCACAGTTCTGTCTCTCCATCTATCTGAAGGGGGAAATCTGTGTGCAAATTTTCTACTGAACTGGCATAGGCAGTTAGTTATGTCCTTGATTCTGAGCTGGCACTCTTCTAGATGCATCTGATGCTTATATTCATTAAGGAAGATTTTCAGCAAACAGTTTTATATCCACATATTTTAGCAAGTTGAGATGTCACTGAAAACAAAGCGGTGAAGGACTTCCATATTCTCTGACACTGACCCAAATAAAGTGAGTGTTTAACTCTAGGAGCTTCAGACTAGCTCTAAATGATTAGTCTGACACTTCATGCTGCACCTCCTGTACTTTGGTAATTTATTTTCTTCATAGGAAGCAAATGACTTCTTAGACTTCACTTACTGTACAAGAGAAACAACTTTGTGATCTTAAAGATAATCTAAAAGCATGCTTTATTTTTCTTTCCAAATATATATTTAAAGATCTCAGTGGAGAGCTTTGGTTGTTCTTTATCAAGAAATGATGGATACCTTAAATAGCAAATTCATGATGCTACTGGCTTTGATGCCGGTGGGTAGAAAATACCCTACTGGCTTCTAAAGCTGGTGGGTAAATAGATCAGGAGCTCATTTAGACATGAGAAAATGGAGTGAAGATGCATCAGGGGAAGTTCAGACTGGGCATTAGGAAAAGGTTCTTCACCAAGAAGGTGTTTGATCACGGGAATAGGCTTCCCTGGGAAGTTGTCACAGCACCAAACCTGTCAGAGTTGAAGGAACATCTTGATGAAGCTCTTAGTCATCTGATTTAGTTGTAGGTAGTCCTGTGAGGAGCAGTGAGTTGGAGTCAATGATCCTCATGGGTCCCTTCCAACCTGAGATATTCTGTGATTTAAGACTGCAGAGTTTTTGACTGATTGAACTAGAACTGTACATTTTAAAACATTTTATAGTTCATGTATCATGGTAGGTTGCAGATTTTCTGTCTTCAATTAAACACACTTTGTGTGGAGGATAGTCTTGGAAAATTACAGAAAGTAGCAAATTGTTTTCCCCAGAAGAAAAAATTAAGAAAGTATACATGAGTGAAACAAGGGATGTGTCTTTTATCTTGTAAAGGAGAATATGATCCCTCCCTATGTGTCCAGGAAAAATATTTTGTATTTCTTTTGGGGGGTAGTTTGCACACTGATACATGGAAACTAGTAATTACATCATCTGTTTCTTTGGCCACCTAGTCTGCTCCCCAGCCCCTTGCCACTCTAATCTGGAGGATGAGAAAAAGGGTCTCATTTATGAAGAACAGTTGAGGAAGAATTCCCTTTAGATTTTTTTTCCCTGTGTATTTTAATAAATAAATGTGAGATCTGAAAGTATTGGCATCTATGCCTAAGCTAAAAGACAAATAATGTCTGCATGATGTCTACCTGTGGCATGTGACAGGAGGAAGAATCGTCACACTCTGAGCTTGACTTACTCTTCTTGTTTGATGAAGAGAATGAGTGAATGTCCTGGATGCCCATCAGCTGCATGATGAAGAATCATTTACATTAAAAGAGATTTAACTAAAAGTGTACAGCAACAAATATTTACTTACTTAGGTAGCACATTCCTGCTGTATTTAAGAGTTCTCTCAAAGGAGAATATCCAGAGCTGTGTGCAAAGAACCATGAAATTCTTTTTTTAATGTACACTGTTAGTCAACTCTTCATTTCAAATGCTCTGTTTAGTCCCAGACAGTTTAAAAAAAATACTTAGTTTGTGTCTTACTTCTAAAAAAAATAATTTCATGAGGGTTCCTTGGCTCAGGGAAAGACTGTGGATAAATTCAATAGTTTTATACAATCCCCATAAAGTCAGCTGCCTTGTGAATCTTGCAGGAACCATTTGAACATCTCATATATGTGAAGTTTGAAAATAAAGTACTGTGAGAACATGATTGAGTGTTCTAGGTAGGATGAAACTTGACTTCAATGATTTTTGTTTCGCAAAAGACAGATTTCTCATCCTTACTCCTCCAAAAAGGAAAAAAACCTTTTTATATTTTTTTATTGATGAGTTATTTTTAAGGAACAGCATTTCCCCTTTGTTTTCTTCTAGATGATTCAAGGTTTGTGTTGAGGTATGTGTGCATGCGGGCTTTTAAAATAACTACAGTGTTTAAAGGGAGTGTGAAAAGTCATACTCCTATTGGAAAGTCAGGATTCTAGTCACTAATGTTTAGAATGTGTTATTTTTTCCCAATGCATGAAAAATCTGCACCAAGACAGTATTTCTAATTATAAGTCATATAATGTTGATTACTTGAACACAGTGCCTAATTCACCCATTAGATGACCCTTGAGATGGTTCTGATGGAAAATAAGTATGAAGTGTAGGTTCAGATTCTCTTGGGTTTGCTACAAGTGACAGTTTGGTGGCTGCTTGCCGAGGGGTAACAAGACCTTCGGGAGCTCAGCTAGCCCATCTTCTTGTCCCAGGGCAGCAACAGCTGTCTCTGCATCTTTCCAAAAACTGCTGCATCTGTCTGTATCAATTTTGGCCAGGACCACTTGTGCAGTATGTCAGTAATCCACATAATCTTAGTAACTGTCAGCTTTTTATTTTAAATTCCTATTGGTAATCAATTCACATTTAGTCCTCCACTTACACCATGCTGTAAACTCTTTCTTCCAATAAACTTTATTGAAAGTATTAATATACTTATGCTCACAGTGAGTGCCTGTTTAGTGGATGCAAATGCCTAATGGTGGATTTTAATATCCCAACAGCAAAAGTCAGTTGTATAATTCCCCATATAAATAGATGACAATAAAATAGTTTTCTGTAGATAATCTGTTTGGAAATAAATGATTAATTGCCATAAATACATCCAAAGGTAAGTTGCCTGATTTTTCTCCCATTTTTTCCCCCCTAAATTAAAATATCTGCTAAACTCTACTGTATTCTATAGGTTTTTAAGATATTTGTCCCCATAAGTTTTGCATTAACTTTGCCAATTTTATATGGAAGTAAGGAAACTCATTATTTTTAAGTCACCTGGAAAATTTCCAACTCAAAGAGTTTTTTAATATATTTATCTCTACATGGTAGGAATTCAGTATTTTGAATAAGTGAAACCGTTTCTGACTCACAATATAGAAAATCTCATGAGAGTGAAGCAAATGGCTAGGGTTAAACCACACACCCAGTTCCTATTAAGCTGGTTGAAAAAGGGGTAGGCAAATACTGTGCTTCAATCTAAAGACTACATTTTTAAAGGCATGATAACTGAATAGAGGTGTTTACTTAACTGAGTTCTGTTTTGTTGAGAAGATGATGGTCTCATTTGTTTAGCAAGGGGTTAGACAGAAACTAATCCTTTAGGCTTACTTTGAAAGGTGGTTATCTTTCCAGCAAGAGAAAGCATTGTTTGCTTTGCCAGAAACAGTGTAATTGTTCCTTAAACCATCATGCTCTCTAAATGGATAAACTTCTTAGAAAGAGGAAGAATATAATTGGCATAAGCAATGTCTTTAGAAGATTCCAAAAACTAATAAAAGTGCTTTCATTTATATCTAACAAACATAGGTATTTTGTGTGATGTAGGCTGTATTACAGCTGTTTGTGAAGAGATTATTTGTTGTGTGTGACAACTACTCTAATAGAAGTATCATAAGTTATGGGAAACGGAGCAGTAGTTTGGTTGGCTCAAGTTAATTACATTTATTCAGATGAAATGCTGTTCTACTGTACTCTTCAGGACAAGCAGAGAAAATACTGAAACCTTTTTTAGCCAGTATTTATTTACTTCAATTCTTTTTGACAGTTTGTGTTGCATGTGTGCTTTAGCTACAGTGCTTTTATATCGACAGTTGGTAGCACAAGCCTTTTAAAGCACAAAGGGTAGCAGTACTTCAGCCAATCTGTGATAAAAGGGAAAAAATGAAATCACTATGGAAACTGCAGGAAGAATCTAAAAGCTTTCTTTATAAAGTAAACGTCTGATGTTTGTGACTGCGGGGGCAAAAAATTCATAAATCTGTACGATGCTATCATCTCTGATTTGTTATCGCAGCAAATGCCAAGTCTAAGCAGTCTGACCTTAGCCTTATTAAGTGCTTTCTTTTCAGATACAGTTATTATTTGACAATAGAGAGACTGCAGTGCTGCAAGGGGGGAAAACTAATATATTTAAAATGTGTGTGTGTCTGTGTGTCTGTGTGTGTCTGTGTATGTGTATATATATAACTATCCATCTTTTTTACCCCGTGAAGCTTATAGAGTTGGGAGGGCTGAATGTGGGAACTCAGGGACTACTATTCTGAGCACAATTGAGAAAACTATGTTTCATCCCATTGCATGCACTTGTCTTTGATCTCAAATCGAAAATCTCCGAGCCTCTTCCTCCAATCCAAAAGCAAATAAATACTGAGAGAAAAAACCTCTCTCCTCTCAGCACATAGGGCCTTTACTACTGAAAAATGAAGGTGGGTGTAAGAGCTCTGATGAACCTGTTTGGACAACAGACAGCAAAAAAATACCTGTCTCGGTGGAGGAGTTTAAGAGCACTGCAGAGATCATCAGACAGTGCAGAATATCTTGGCTCACACAGGCCATTCTCTTTATCTCAAAACAATACCAGCCAAGCTCCTCTGTACCTAAAACTGAAGAGCTGCAGGAGCAGGAGGACAGTAACTAATTCAGCTTTTAAATTTGAATCTCCTTGTCTTTACTAAGAAAAAAAAAAGAAAAAAGATAAATACATTAAATCAAAGCAAGATAGGATATCTGGTAAGTATTTTTATTCCATTTGGTTTCTTTAGATGGAAGATTTTTCTTTTAGTCATATGTATCTGCTGTAAACAATATAAGGGCTTGATTGATTGTGAGGTTTTTGTGAAGTTTTTTAATTATGGAAAAATTTCATGCCTATTTTTGCATTTACAACTTTGATAGCTTTTGGATTTCTTTGTTTTGTTGTTGTGCTGTAATTAGTGTGCAAGCTTTGCAAGTTTGATGTTTCAAGATGTTCTAAAGAGCACTGTTGTTCCCAGGCTCTTGGAATATAAATATAACCATTGGTAATATGTATTATTGTATTTTATATATATACACACAATAACAGGTTTTAGTATCTGTTTTAGCGTGACAGTTTTAAAATATACTGATAATGACTGAAGCCAGGCAAGTACTTTCCGACTGTTTCAAGCTCTCTAAACAGTGTGAATATTTTAACTCTTGTTCAATAAGATTATATATGAAAATTTAATCTATGACAGATGACAGCATAAAGTTATTTGTCTATAAATGTAAGAGGCCAGAAGAATTCTTGATTATATTCTGATGTCATAGTACATTGGTGAATGCTACTATAGTGTGTGCTTATACTATTAACAGAAAGATTTCAGGTTAACAGTAGAAAAACACAGACAATACAATTCTGTCTAAAACAGGTCAATCTTTCAGTAATAGATATAAATCTAGAAAAAGATGTATTTTGACTTATTGGCTTCATTGCAGCTTTTTATGCGTACAATGAAAACCAATTATCTGGGGGGGAAATTTGACTTTGTGGAATGGAATTAAATTGCTTTTTAAAGGCTTCCTTAAGCAGCACTACCTGGAGGGAAGTCCAATAACATTTTTAGCTCTGAATTGTAATGACTTTGCTACATTAATAAATCAGGTTGTGTTCTGACTTTTATCAAAAGATTCCAAGGAAGAAAACTATACACAGCAGGTTGAAGCTACAGGGGCAGTCCTGACATGTTTTTCTCCATCAAGCTACTTTACTTCAAAAAGTGGACCTTCAGAAACAGCAATTCCCATGGATCAGTGCTTAAAACGGTAGGTCCAAATCCATCAAAGATGATTAAAACAATTGATAAATATTAATTCCTGCTAAAAAGTGAATTGTCAAACTGGAATATCTGTAATGTAGTCTAGTCATTTAAATCAGTGTTCTTAAGGAAGTAAGGGAAAAAATTCTATTCATGCTCATCACATTTGGGGTGGTGCTGGTGTTGTTTTGTGGGTTTGGGATATGTTTTGTGGGTTTTTTGTTTCTTTTTTTAAAAAGAAAATATTCTATTTATTCTGTTTATCTCTGGTCTTAAGATGGAACTGGGTACAAGATTGATCTAAAAAGTAAACTTTTTCAAAAGAGATGTTTTAATTCACTCTACAATGTGTGTATATGTCCTGTTGCTGCTATTCATGTACTACTAGTTAGCTAGGCAAGGGTTTGGGCTCAATGGAGTGAGGTTTTATAAAGTATGTATTTGGGACTCAGAATCTGAAACTTTACAAAAAGAAAAGCATTTGTTTGAACAGTGTTTTCGTCTGTTGATATTAGCTCTACAGTAATCGGGGAGGAAAAAAAAAGATACTGCCATCTACTCATTTTTCCCAACAGAACACATATCAGAAGTGTAATCTGTAGGAGGAATGTGAACTGGTGATGTTGGTTTCCTATGCTTTTATGCAGAACGTTTGTAATTATCTTGCTGAGTCGTAATCCCTGACATTTGCTTTCACAAAGCATCTAGTGGAGAATGCAATACTCTAATTATGTTTCTGTGAAAGAGTTGAGAGGAAAAAAAGTTGTGCTCTTTAGCACAGTATTTTAAATGAAAGCAATTTCATTAATAATAATATATACAAAATTTTTGGAAAGACTAAGGATACTTCATCAACTGTAATTCCAGGTTGTTTTATATTGCAGTGTACAAATATAGTTGAACATATGTTAATTGTAAGTTCTTTTCTGAACTGTGTGCTGTACTTGCCCACATCCAAAGCAAAACAGTCACTGGCTGCAGTCTAAATATTTTTATATCTTTGTGTTTTCTCTCTTACATTTTCCAGTATTTTCTGAGATGAATGAAAGATAGTTACCACATTTTAAATAAACTATCATGGTTAAAAAAAGTTTAAAAGTCAGTGCTTTATCATATGATGTTTTACAGTAGCTTTTATATTAAGAAAATGAAGATCAAGAATAACAATGAGTTAAATTTGAATTGCAGGTCATGAAGATCACCTCATGTTATGTTCTTTTATATAGGGAACTAGCCATAAACAATGTGAAGTTGTAAAACTGACTTTTGATCTTCGGGGAGCTCACTTTTTATAGATACGTTTGTCCACAAACTGAGGCAAAAGGTTAATTGAGGTTGCATATTTGAATACATTATGTGCATTTCACCTCTATTAGACAGTTAGTTACTGAATATCTGGTATGAATAATTTCTAAATACAAAGGTATTTACTACAGAACCATTAAAATGGAATCTCCAAAGGAAAATGGATATGTGATACTGGTATCCGGCTTTGTTCGCAAAGTGGGGCTGCGTGGGTTAGCTGAAAGAAGTGACTCCAGCAGTCTGTTCTCAAGCAAATTTCTCAGACACAGGATTGTTATACAAGACATACCTGGCTTTCTTTATGCTCTCCTTTTGGGAAATCCATTAAACTATTCATATATCCTATGGTACATGAGATTACTTATCCAATGTTGTGCCCATAATGCCTGCTTCTAATAGATGAGTAGTACAATAAAAAAAAAAATAGGAAAAAAACTCTTGCTTTTCCTTCCCCTTAAGCAGCCCACTTTTCCATTCCCCTCTGTGCTTGTGTGGGTTTTGTTGTTAAAAAAAAAAAAAAAGAGAGAAAAAAGTAGTGCCAATTAGTGCCGATCAGTGTAAACAAACATCACCCTTTACATAAATCCCATAAATATGTACTTTATAGCAAGACATCTGTTACTAGTGATTTGGCTGGGAAGAGTGGCCGTTGTCCCACTCAAAGGTGACCTCCAGAGATTGTGAAAGCCGTTGGGCAGAATACTTGTCTTCAGTCTTGCCTCAAAACCTGAAAAAAAGTTGTTTCCCTCATGGTGTAGCCTGGGGATTGCTTCAATAAAAGCAGAGAGGGTTTCTGAAGAGGAGGAGCAGGTCACACCTTCATAGCAAGTGCCAACTTCTCAAACTTCCCAAGAAGTGCCCAGCACTGACATGGGCTCCTTTCAGAAAGTTTTCCTTCTCATCCTCCCATAAAGTGGTATTTACTAATGCTGTGTTGTTTTTGAATGGTGTGCATATTCGTATAGATACCAAGCTCGCAGCAGATGAGGATGTACCAGGATAACATGGCGCTGGAAGACACGTGGGATCCTTGATTCAAGGAGAAATATCCCAAGGTTATTACATTTGTTATTACACTTAGCAAGGCCTAACCAGAGGTTTAAATCAAATATGACCACAAGCTTGTCACATGGTCCTTGGTGGGGCTTCGGACCAGGCTTTCCATGGGAGCGTTATTGGTGCTCTCCATTTTTCAGCGATATGTGCATGCTGGTAGGGTAGACGTTCTCAAGCAGTAACATGTACTCCACAGTCTTTCGTTATTGCAACTTCATGACCACATTCTCACCTGCAAGGGCTGGCACAGCTTTTTCATGCTGTACACTAGCAGCAGAGGATCTTCCTGGCATATATTTTCCCATCAATTTTTAATTCCATTCAGTGGCAATACTTTGTTACCAGTTTGCTCAAATAGGAGGGAAACTGGTGCACAATGCTTCAGAATTCGTAATAAATTAATATTTTTATCTAAGATAATTATTTTGTAAACATACTTATAATTGAAAGCTTTTTTTTTCCTACCCAACGCCAGGCATTTACATAAACTGATGAGTCCAATGAATATGTCTGTCGTTAAAGACTGATATTACAGTTGATATGAAAGAGATACTCTGGAATTAAACAGCAATGAAGTTTCTGAATGTAAAGTCCTGGTTCTTTAAAACGCCTTTAGTAGTTTAGAGGTATTCTGCCACACAGGGTGTGTTACACTGAGTAACACTGATTTCCTGTTTGTCTGCTTGTTTCCTCGCTGCACTGGAAGAATTTTGAAAGGCACTGGATGCCTGGCACTTTTGTAGGAATGTACTTAAATTCCCATACTTAGAGAAAAGATTGCTTTGAAATGCTCTAAAGTGACAATTGTCAACTTTCAAATTAAATCACATGTAGTTTCTTTAGCATATCAGTTGAAAGTTGCTGATAAAATGATTGTTTATTTGTAATGAGTGAGGAGGCTTCTCTGAGTTGATAGGGTCTGCCACATTAAAATACTGGTTTTGACATAATGTCTGTAATTTGCACTTGTGTTAGCAGTCTCAACTATTTTTTTTTTAACTGTGCTTTTTATAAATCTGATTTTATTGCCATGTGAAAATTTTGCTGGTAATCTTCAACATTTACACCTTAAAATTACCTTAAAACAATACAACTCACACACCTTAAGGCAAGTATAACCATGCATATACATATCCTACTGCAGCCTGCTTGAAATGAAGTCAAGACTGACTTACACAGAAGAAGGGAAAGAAGAAGGGAAAAAAGTATTTTAAAGCTGAAGTCTACACCTGGGCTGAACTTATATAATAGAATATATAATACAGAATGCAGAGTCATTAGCTTTTCATATAATAATGCTAGACTTCCTAAAAGTCAAGCCCAGAGTGTAAATGTCAGGATATTTTGTCTAACAGCTTCATTGACTCTGTCTTTGCAAATAAATACTTAAGCTCTGTGTCATATAAAATTAAGAAAAACCCACAACTTCTTGTGCAAGTAAAATCTCTGTATCAAAATATAAAACTGCTATGAGACGGAAATGAGTATCTCTCCTTCTTATGCCAACTAACCGGCCAACTATGTACTTGCTCCAGCACAGTTTTCTGCTGGAGATGCTACCTTCATTTTCAGTCAATGCTTAAAACTGATGTCTGGTGGAAAAACTGCTGAAGCCTTTGTGCTAAACTTCTCTGTGTCTTAATACCTAGAATATTTGAGCAAAGATATATGTTATCTATTCAAACTGTTTTATTTCCCTATGAATTATGAGAATTCAGAGGAAGGCAGAGCAGGAATTATTTCCCTTTCAGGATTAGAATCCTGTTTTACTGCTGAAGTGTGCTATTGCTGTGTTGTCCAACACCAGACTAGACAAGATTTCAAAATGAAAGTCAATACTCCTAAATTTGCATAGGATTACTGCCTATGTATGTGAAACAATTTTCTTAATAAAACCAGAACAATTTACTGATTTTTTTTCCTTCTCTTTCCCTCCCTCTCCAGGGCAAAAGGAGATCTTTGTAAAAAGTGAAGCGCTAGTAAATAAAGAGTTAAATTGAAGGCAGGCTCACTGGTTTGTTGAGATCTGTCAGAGTCTGAGTGGCTGGCTACATATCTGTCTCAGGAACAATAGCTACCTGTATTCTGCACGGGCTGCTGGGCAGGCACTAGCAGTCTGGAGAAGGTCTGCCTCTGTTAGAGGCTTTTTAGTGGGAATCCCTAATGACAGTCCGACTTCTCATTGGGAGGGGGTAGAGAAATCTTGTCTACTCTGTTGATGAGGGACAGAGCTTTGATCATTTTCATTCAGCCTTGACTTGGCCTGAGGTTTAAGATCCCAGTTGTGAAGTCAGCAGGCTCTCTTTTCTCACACACACACACACACACACACACTCTCACACTCACACAGACCCCTTTGCTGGTCTGTGCAGGCAGATTAGTGTCACGGCTGTAACTGAGGCACAGAGCAATAAACATAGCAGAACCAATCTCCATGGTGGCAAGAGGGGGCACTGGAGGTGACAACAATGGAGAAGGATCTTTCTTCTGACAAGTTTTAGGTAAGAGAGAATATTTATACCCTCCGCCAACTATTTTATAGCCTTCTAAATAAGTTAGAATTTGTTAGATTGCAAATGTGCCTTGTTATAGAAATATTCTAGTTTACTGCTGTATCCAGGGTGTTACTAGCGTTTAACCTGTAAT